CAAAAATAATTACTCCTATATCAAAGAGTTCTCAAACAAAAAACACAATTTGAACTATTTCTAAAGAAGCAGTAATATCAAAATATGTAAACAAAATACTAGTGTGTAACACATTAAAATGTACAAAGGTTTGCAACAATATTCATTTTTGGGGATGTGTGTAAATAATTAGATTTTATGTTGTGCTTCAAACTGAAGCTGGTATTTTCTGCTCTTTTGCAGAAACAGGTGGAAGTCTATAAATGGAATGGGTTAGCACCTTCCAAATAACCTCATACTAAGCATATACAAAACCAAGCATATTAGCTAGCACAAGAAAAATTATAGAGCTTAGATTAGACTTTCTCCCTTCCATTGTTCATTGTATTGTTTGTAAAATGAAGGTTTAAAGTCCCGCTACGCAAACAGCCCTTCAAAACAGGAGTAATATTAGCTGCATGCAGATCTGAAGCTGCAAAAATCAACTTAAAATTAAATGAATTAATATCATTCATTCACCACACTGTTACCATAATTTTAAGTTTTACAGTACAGGATGAATTCTGATTTACCTTTTTTTTTTTTTACACTTGTAAAAACAGGGTATACCATCCTGTGTTTCAGCAGGGCAAACCACTCAAAAAGGAACAAATTCTGTTTAAAAATCTCTTTTCAGCAAGATCTGATGTCAGCTTTTAATTTCTACTGCACTTGAGATTTGAGTTTGATTCATAACACTGTATCCTACATCGTTGAAGGCAACTATGATAATTAGAAACTTGTTTCAGTGGACCGAGAAAAGAAACAAGACACAGGGGTCATTGTCCCAAGCGGTCAAGAGAAAGGAGGATTATATTAACTTTTCACAGCTAAACAGGTATATTGGATAGAGCAATAAAGCGGCTTTATTTTAAGGTGTCTTATAGGACTAATTTTTGAAGAAATAAAAAGTATCAGGAAATCATAAAAGAAATCATAGGTTAAGGACATGCTCTCTGCATTCATATTTCATTAGTTGTGTTTGATATGTTAGAGCCAAGTCCAGACAATATAAATGCATTCAGTAACTCAGTACTCTAGCACACTACTTGATTTATACTCATACATTTATAAAACTATAAATTGCTCCCTACTGCAAATTGGGAAATCACAGCCTACAGCAATTAGCAGCAATTTGGCAAGTCTTAACAGACTGGGCATAGGTTACATCCTCCCCACAATCATAACAGTTGTTCACAAGAGGAAGATGAATCCAGAAGGTACAAGAAGCTGGTTCAATAGCCAGGTTTGGCACTGGTGGAATAAATGAACCAAGTCTCAGTGCTATTAGTAGGTGTTAATATTGGCAACAGACTTAAGGAGACAGAAAAGCTGGGGTTAAAATTGGGCTATTTAAGTCAGGAAATAAAACATTATTGAATTTGTGAACTTTACAGTTTTGATTTTACAACTAGGTTTATGTTGTACAATTGCCTTTGGCGGAGACCTAGAAGCTTGGCTGAGCATTTTTTTTTTTTAGCTCCCCGGCCAAGGAAAGTTTTCTAGCTCAGTTATCATTTTCATTCTTCATCTCCTCCCACTCACTGCCCCAGCTCTTCCTTGGAAAATAAGCTAACAGCCAAGTAGAACTTTTAATAGAAACTTGTTTCAACATTTGTTTTACTGTAGCTCAAAAAAAAAAGTTGCAAAAAGTTTGACTTTAAACAAACTACGACGTGTGTGACATAAAAGGAGAGACCCCCCAAAATGTCTCTCCTTAACATTTGAGAGAATCACCCAAGGCACTATAATAACTTCCCGCCTTTTTTCAGTCATCTGTGCAGTGTCCATTTCTATTCAATAGACTTAAATAGCAAAGTTCAAATTAAGAATGAATCACAATGTGATTCTAACCCTGGCTTGGAGGGATGAGATGAAAGATTATTCCAGTTTCCATCTCCATTCTGTAGAATCTGTAGAGACTTCGATTAAGCATGCCAGTTAGCGCCAGTCATGAAAGAAGCCTTTGTGATGAAGATACCTCTGCTTGAAACTCCTTTCACAGACGCCATGGAACAATCATTGTGCTGTAAAACTGACCAATGCTGAACCATCAACCTGGAGGTCAAAGGTTTCATATCCCACTGTCAATTTCCTGCTCCATTCAGCTCTCCTGAAAAAACTGATGACTGTAGAAAATCCAATAAAATATATTCTTCTCCTTTCCCATGTATTGGTCATAAAACATTCCCAATATTGAAAGGTTTCAGAGTAGCAGCCGTGTTAATCTGTATCCGCAAAAAGAACAGGTACTCTATGGTGCCACAAGTACTCCTGTTCTTTTTCCCAATATTGAAATGTCAGTGACCAAACTCGAATAATTAAAAACAACAACAACAAACCACAACCACATATATTCATTTCATATCCACTACCACATCATCATCTAAATAGTGTTGTGTTCTGAAGCACTATGTTAATTACATTCTGGAAGGGTAAAAAACAAAAAAAATGCTCCTTTTGTGTCTTCTGTCTTATTTTTCTGTTAATGCACATTGCTGTCATATGTACAGCAATGAATATATACAGAGAAGACATGGCAATAATAAAAGAAAAGATAATTTTAGGGCAATATTAATCATTTTTGATGAAAATAGACAAACATGAAAGAGTGTGTGTGTGGGGAACGGAGGGGTATTGTATTTCACTGGCCTATGGTTTAACATCATGATGTGGTGTCCAATACTCAGAGCTGTATAGAGATTCTTTTCAATTCTGATATTGATATATATTCTTTCCTGAACCTGAAGGCACTGTTTGCTTCATATGTATCTTGTGTTTAAATTCCTTCAAGAAATGTAAACAGTTAAACTCTAATACAAATTTGTGTGGACATTTTCACCCTTTTCCATTCTCCCTCCAAATTAAGTGCATGTTATCAACTCAGAAACCCAAAATTATATAATAAAATTATTTCAGGACTAAAGGACAAATCTAAAATTTCCTGTAGCCAGTTCTCATAATTTGGAAATAATTAAGATGTTAAAAAAAAGATGTAGGATTTTTTTTTCATGGAAATGACAAGACATCCCATAACAGATCATATATTCCATCTAATCAGCAATTAAGAATACATGTAAAATTAAATACAGAAAGAGAGGTGTGGGGTGGAAAAAATAGAGATCTGGATTCTAACTGAGAAAACCCTTCCTTCCCCTTCCACATGTTCTAGTAAAATAGAACTTCTGTGTCTCATAAAAATATTTCTTCAAGAAAAAAAAGACAGAATGAGGGGAAAAAAAAAACCCTCATCATGCAAGCTTTCAAATATACTCCTCAGGTGCAAATAATGAAGTGGGCCAGAAGAGGAAGGTGAACTGGGAAATCCTATGATGTATTCCACTTGGAGTTTAATATTAAATAGATATATCCCAAAAGTGCATGTGTATGTCAGTATGTGAGAAATTTTAACTGGAATTGGGAATTAGACTGGAAAATTATAGTTCCACAGCTTGAAACTGACAGACAGTGGGATAATGATCAGAGCTCAACTATTATTCCATTGCAAACTGAAAGCTCCAATCTGTACTGGCTTTATTAAACCTTTTAATTGACAGCTTTTAGTAACATTTGAAAATAGATGTTGAATTCACTTTAATTGTTGTTGTCACTTCCTTCTCTCATCTCAGTCCTTCTGTTCTAAACTTTTTTCACTGCAATTCATGTATTTTAAGCAAAAGTAAAGAAAGGGTGCAGGATATGGTGGAGTTAAAGTATTTCTTCTACATTTCTTTCCTGTTACACTGTATACAAAAGTCCTTTGTCAGAAGATTGTGTAGAAGAGGGGCCATAGTGAAGCTGAGACAAAGGAAGATGAGGGTGTTCAGATGGAAGCCAAAGGATTGAGGAGCAGAACAAGGCAGAGCAACATACAGTATTGTCTTCGCTGCAAACAATGCCACCAGCCTCATCAATGGATGGGGGGAAATTGATGGGGCCTGCTGTGAAAGAGGGACAGTCCCAGTGGCAAGGGACGGGGACACTCGCCAAGGGACAATAGGTAGCTCCTCCCCCTGGGAGTCTCTGGCACCCATTGGCCAGCTGGGGGAGAGGGGTGCTGATTTGCCAGCACTCCCCAGTTCCCAGGATTTAGCCCAGAGCAGGAGCCAGGAGTCCAGCCCCCTGCCTTCACTAGCAGGACCAAGTACTTATTTTGCCCCAGTTCCCTAAGTGGCCCCCTCAAGGACTGAACTCACAAACCCTGGGTTTAGCAGGCCAATGCTCAAACTACCAAGCTATCCCCACACACCCCCTAAAGGAGGGATAGCTCAGTGGTTTGAGCATTGGCCTACTAAACCCAGGGTTGTGAGTTCAGTCCTGGAGGGGGCCACTTAGGGATGTGGGGCAAAATCAGTATTTGGTCCTGCTAGTGAAGGCAGGGGGCTGGACTCAGTATGTAAACAAAGATATTTTAATATTAAAATAAGGACATTCACCATCTAAATCAACTATAATAAAGTAACTTAGGGCTTTGACCTCACGGAACAGCACTACGATACAATTTGAAACAGACTACATTAGTTCACACCAGGGAACTTTTAGTGCACCCCAGCAGGGTCGATACAGACCAATTAATGTGCAACATGTTAGTGTATTATAAAGATCACACTCCCGTACAATGCGGGGAGTTCCACTGTGTAGACAAACCCTTAGTCTTAATGCATGCATCTTTCAGATGGATACGGTATTCTTTATTTCCTGCTATAAACTTGTATATGGTTACTGTGAGCTATACTACAGCTGCTATGTTCCTCCTCAGAGGTGGCTGCATTTCATTAATGGGCAAGGGATTACAAAGATATATAGGTGATGTTTTACAGTATATTTAATTCCTGAGTTGGAAGATACTATTGAAATACAAAGTATTTATTAATAGCATCATAATCAATTTCCAGACCAAGAATGCCACAAGGCCAGGTTATTCCTCTACCTCACTTCTTTTGGGAGCTCTAGTATTTACTCTCAGAAATGGGTTAACTCACCGTGAGAGCCAGAAGTTTCCCATATGTGAGATGTGCTGGGATGTGGTCAGTCTTGGATCGCAACGACTCCATATACCAGTGTTCTGCTTCAGACAGCTTACTCAGTCTCATGTAGGCTTCTCCTATTAAATAAATGATAACCAGTCTGAGGACATAGGATTTTAACAGATTTATCATTTGAATTGCAAAAATTAAAAAAAAAGTTCTACGTTGTGACTGTCCACCTATATATGAATGATGGCCTCTAAGACAATGCATAGCTTTGAATGCCGGCAAGTTAGAAAACAAACTACTTTATGGACATCTTAGTGATGAAGGAACGGAGGAATAGACTTATTCAGGATGAAAGAGCACAAGCGAGATGAAAGTCTGGTTGGAAAGGAATTGAAAGTGGGAGTATCAATCAAAATTCCCAAAGTAACCAACACATCTGCTATGCAAGAGCTATTTCTTTTCAATCAATTCACATTACACAGCATGGAGTATCAGTGAAAATACAGCATGTATTTGTGTTTAACCATAACGCATCAAGATCATAGATGAGGGTAAAAAAAACCGAGGTAGGTTCAGGGGCGGTTCTAGCTTTTTTGCTGTCCTAAGCATGGCAGTCAGGCTGCCTTCGGCGGCGTGCCTGCGGGAGGTCCCCAGTCCCGCGGCTTCTGCGTACCCGCCGCCGAATTGCCGCCAAATCCGCGGGACCGGCGGACCTCCCGCAGGCATGCCGCCGACGGCTGCCTGACTGCTGCCCTCGCAGGGACCGGCAGGGCGACCCCCGTGGCTTGCCGCCCCAGGCACGCGCTTGGAGTACTGGTGCCTGGAGCTGCCACTGGGTAGGTTAAGAAAAGTCCCCAAAGAAGGTTAGAATAATGAGGGAGGACATAGAAAAAACAAAACACACTGCAGTTGGTGAAATCTGGTGCCCTGCAATCAGGGCCGGCTCTGGCTTTCTGGCTGCCCCAAGCAAAAAAAAAAGCCTGCGGCATGACCGGAGCCAGGGTGCAGGGGAACTCCCTGCCCTGCAGATGTGCCCCGGCTAGCGGGGGGAGGAGGAGGGAGCGGGAGGAGAGAGAGAAAGGGGGAGGCCAGGGCTTCAGCGGGGTACTGCCACGCGGCCCCTCCCGACGTGCCCCCTGCCGGGAGGGCTCCGCACCGCTCCAGTCGGCTGGGAGGGAAGGACACGGGCTGCCCTGCTGGGCTTACTACAGGGCGCTCCCGTCCTCCACGCCGCTGCCCCATACAGGGCGGCCGGAGCGGAACAACAACAACAACAAAAAACAAAAAAAAAAAGTGACCGTGCCACCCTAGGATTGGGCGGAATGCCGCCTCCTACAAGCTGCCGCCCCAAGCACCAGCTTGCTCGGCTGGTACCTGGAGCCGGACCTGCATGCAATCACTGTATAACATCACTAGTGCTTTAATCTGATTTGAACTTTGTAAGGATTATGGAAGCCAATATGTGAAAAAGGATCAAAATCTGACAAACTTCTCAAAGTAAAATCCTTTGCTCTGAAAGATTCAGGCAGCAAATGTAGAAGGATAGTGGGAGAATGATGGCAATGACAGAAATGCACTTTGGGGCAGTAATCTTGAAAATTTTGAAAATGCATTTAATGTAGTGTAGAAGAAACAATTTGAACAGAAAAATCAAACAAAATCTTGCAAAGCTAATCAGAAACAAGCAGGATCAAACAATTAATTAAAAATGAAGTATGACAGTTTTCAGAATAATAATACTCTGCATTTACATAGCACATTTTTAATGTGCTATAGACACATTTAGTGAAATCCTGGCCCCACTGAAGTCCATGGCAAAAAGACTAATGACTTCAATAGGGTCAGGATTGCACCTATTAACTAACTGACATTATTTTTCGCATACGTATAAACTGTGATTTATCTAAGGCCACATGCTAATTCAGCAGAATAAATGGGGTTAGACCTCAGGAGTTCCAACCCCATGCTCAGTCCAGTAACCTATGCTAACTCTCAAATGAATGGCATCAAATTTATAATCTATTACACGCAAAACAGCATGATTACAGTTGCAAAGTTAAGCACTCACAAGTTACAAAATGCCACAATTAAGGCTGCCTTATCAACCTGAATTTGCACCTCCTTGTGCATATGCATTATGCTACAGTCTTTAATGACATAATCACATCCTATCTTTTATACTCCAAACTGTCCTTGTCTGAGTCTTGTCTTTTCCCCATCCAAGTTCCATTCTCCTCACCTAGTCAGTCCCAGTCTCCATTCCTCAGTTTTCTTATCCCTGTCCCAGTCTCCTGGCTTAGCACAGCCTCATCTCACTCCTCTGGACTCCCCTGTCCTTAAGGCCCTCTCACTCAACTCCCAGTCTCTTTGCCCAGCTTTTCCCAGTTCCCTGACCTTCCTCTCATTCCTTGGGCACGTCTTCACTACCCGCCGGATCGGCGGGTAGCAATCGGTCTATCGGGGATCGACTTATCGTGTCTAGTGAAGACGCGATAAAATCAATCCCTGATGGCTCTACCGTTGACTCCGGAAATCCACCGCGGCAAGAGGCGGTAGCGGAGTCGACGGCAGCGCGGCAGCGGTCGACTTGCTGCCATCCTCACAGCCAGGTAAGTCAACCTAAAATACGCCACTTCAGCTACGCTATTCACGTAGCTGAAGTTGCGTATCTTAGGTCGACCCCCCGCTGTAGTGTAGACCTAGCCCTTGTCTCTTTCCCCACCCAGTCCCAGTTCTCCCACTCTCTCTACCACTCCAATCAGTCTCTCCTCAGCATCCTGAACTCCAGTTGTCCACATTCTGAACTCCTTATCCACGTTACCTATCCTCACTGGCTTCAAACACCATCTCTGTCCTTGGGCTTCTCTTCTAGTTACAGTGTTTCCCCCCACCTCAGCTCCTTGTCCTCATCTCTTAGCCCAGGCAACACCACTGCTTCACCCTGCACCACAGTTCCTCTTCTGATATATCTTTCCTCCTCCCTCACTACTTTACTGCCACATCACTAGCTCTAAGTCACAGTTTAATTGCCCTTCAAGTCCCAGGCCCCCCCTACCCCCACCCTCCAATTCCCCTCATGGCTTCTCATTTTATCTCAGTTTCCTCCCCAACTACTGGCTCCCAGTCCCCACTGGTCATTTCCCTCCTCAGTGCCAAGTCCCAATCTCCTTGCTCAGCCAGTCCCACTCTCTCTCCCCTAGTCCTAGTTTCCCTCTCCCTCAACTTCTTATCCAAATCTACTCTGCTTCTCATCTGCAAGTCTGGTTCTTGTTCCCTCTGCATTCAAATTGGTCAGCTTCCTCTAGAGTGCCTGGGCCCAGTAGGGCATCATTGACAGCAGAGGAGAGACCTGCTCCCTGTACTCAGTTTAGGTGCTCTGACTTAGAGACCCATCATAGCCTGCAGCAGCTCAAAGCTACAATTTCAAGAAAAGTACTGCTTAGTCCCAGGCTGTAGTATGCCCAATGTGGATTGAACCTTCAGGGAATTTAGTTGCTAAAATCTAAGAAGACTCTATTGAGCATGTGTAAACTGTGATATTTCAAAGAATTATAACTTAGTCCTATTTGGGCAGATTTGCACAGGGAAAAAGGCACATCCCTGACACAAAGGTCACCTCCACCCCCATAGTTTTCAAGTCGCTGCTTCAAAGCATGAAGTGCTACAAGTATTCAAAGAAAAGGCCACCAAAAATCAACATGAGCACAACAACATATTTTCTCTTGCCTCGTTCTCAGAAATGGCTGAACTCTTTTAGCTGAAAATTCCCTACTCCTCCCCCCAAAAAGTTCTGAGGCAGACACCTGGCATGAAAAATTTCAGCCTGAATGGTGACAGTTAGGCACAATTATAAGCAATTGAAAATAGGGTCTTATAATTGGAAGTGACAGACAACCTTAATGGGTGGTGCTGCCAGAACCATCTATAATAGTCTCATAGATCCAACAATGCACTATGCACTGTTTAAACTTATGAAGAGACACAATCTTATCAAATATTTCTCAGGATGGATGCTAATATAAGGACGAGATAAACAGATGCGCTTGAAAGGCTGCTAGGCAGATTAAATTGAGGAAGGTTTTAGAAATCAAGTACTTCACAGCAAAACCTATTAAATGACCTTCTCCTGGAGGGTATTGTTGACTCTGCATCCAGAAATTCAACTCTGAATTTACTGACCTAAATGTCAAACTGTCCACACAGAAAGCTCCCTTGAAGACTTTAAAATTGCGCTCCTTTGCTGGCCATATTCAAGTATTTCTATTGAAAGCTTGATTTCTGCCTGTAAAGCCCAGGTTCTAACTGTCTGTAATATAGCAGCTTTTGATTATGTGACTACAGCTGAAGGTCTATCAGGGTTTCCGCTATAACTATTTTTTTGGGGGGGGGAGGGGGGGGAAGGATTTAGAGCCCTGCTATTAAAAAATCACTTCAGTTAAGTATGTGATGGGGGTTTGTCCCAGATAGGGGGGGAAATATTGCAAAAATTCAGTTTAATCAATCTGGCCATATTTTTGGTTAAAGTAAAGTAAATCTAATAAAAGCTTCTATGGTTTGAGATGTTTTTCAACCATTCTATTGGATGAGATATATAGGGATTGGATTTTGTCATTTAGGATGAGATTATATCTATCTATCTGCACAGGGACAAAAAGTTTAAAATAGAATTAGTGATATTTGACAGTTACTACTGTATATTTGCACAAACGTTTGTAATGTGAATGATCTAATTTTCAGTAAATCCTTAATAGAGCATCCAGTGACATGAGATATGAAAGTAGCTGCAGAATACAAACTGGCAGCTCCATTTACCTTCACACTATCAGCATTTAACACATTCATTTGTAAAGTGCTCATACCGAAAATAGAAATGGTGCCATATAACAAATTCAGTTTGATAATGTATCCGGTCAAACCTATGCAGTTTAATGAATGTATATCCCACTTTGACAAACTATATCACAAAGGCACAGAAGGAAATCTGTTATATGTCACAATGTTTCAAAGGTACCTCAGTCACCATAAGGAGAACAAGTCAACGTACAGGAATCTAGGCCCCAATTCAGCAAAAACACTTAACCGTGTGCTTAAGTGCTTCTGCTGAATAGAAGCCAAAGGGAGATACCAA